ACAATGAGGAGATAGCCAACCTATCTGATGGAGAATTTAAAGCCCTGGTAATCAAAATGCTCACAGAACTAATTGAGCTCGGTCAAAAAATGAAGAAACAAATTAAAGATACCCAAAAGGAAATAAAGCAAAATATTCAGGGAACCAACAGTGACAGAAAGGAAACCAGGACTTAAAGCAACAGTTTGGAACATAAGGGAAAAATAAACATCCAACTGGAACAGAATGAAGAAACAAGAATTCAAAAAAGTGAAGAGAGACCTTACAAACCTCTAGGATAAGCTGAAATGTTCAATATCTGAATTATAGGGTGCAAGAAGAACAACATCAGCAAGAAATTGAAAACTTGTTTGAACAAATAATGAAGGAAAACTTCCCCAATCTAGTGAAAAAATAGACTTCCAGAAAGTTCAGGAAGCCCAGAGAGTCCCAAAAAAGAACACACCAAAACACATCATCATTAAGTTAGCCAAGATTAAAGATAAAGAGAGGATCCAAAAGTAGCAACAGAAAAGGAGACAGTTACCAACAAAGGAGTTCCCATTAGACTGTCAACTGATTTCTCAAAGGATACCTTGCAGGCAAGAAGGGGATGGAAAGAAGTATTCAAAGTCATGAAAGGCAAGGACCTACATTTAAGATTGCTCTATCCAGCAAAGCCTTCATTTATAATGGAAGGGTAGATCAAGTGCATCCCAGATAAGGTCAAGTTAAAGGAGTTCATCATCACCAAGCCCTTATTATATGAAATGTTAAAGGAACCTATGTAAGAAAAGAAGTTCAAAAATACGAACAACAAAATGATGACAAATTCACAACTATCAACAAATGAACCTAAAAGAAAAGGAAAACAAAAACTAAGCAAACAACTAGAACAGGAACAGAATCAGAGAAGTGAACATTACATGGAGGGATTTCAGTGGGGAAGGGTAAGGGAGGAATAGGAGGGGAAAGGTACATGGAAGAAGAAACATAATTAGTAGGCATAAAATACATGGGGAGAGATAAAAATGGTATAGGAAACAGAGGACTCAAAGAACTTATAAATACAACCCATGGACATGAACTAAGTGAGGAGAATGCTGGAGGGTTGGGGGATGCAGGGTGGGGGGGATAAAGGGGAAAAATTAGGAAAACTGTAATAGCATAATAAATAAAAATACTTAAAAATAAAAAATACAACAAATGTTGGAGAGGGTGTGGGGAAAAGGGGACCTTAGTTCACTGTTGGTGGGATTGTAGACTGGTACAACCATTATGGAAAACAGTATGGAATTTTCTCAGAAAAATAAAAATTGACCTGCCTTTTGACCCAGCAATTCCACTGCTAGGATTATACCCCAAGAATCCTAAAACATCAATTTCAAAGAACCTATGCACCACAATGTTCATAGCAGCACAATTTACAATAGCCAAGAGTTGGAAGCAACCTAGGTGCCCATCAGTAAATGAATGGATCCAAAAATTGTGGTACATATACACCATGGAATTTTATGCAGCAGAGAGAAAGAAGGAACTACTACCTTTTGCAACAACATGGATGGAACTGGAAAGCATTATGCTGAGTGAAATAGGCCAGGCATTGAAGGACAAATACCATATGATCTCACCTTTGACAGGAAGCTAAAGAATAAAACAAACAAGCAAACAGAATAAAAACAAAGACGCTGAAATAGAGAACAAGTGGGCAGCGACCAGAGGGGAGAGAGGGAAGGGAACTTAAGGGGGAAAAAGGGGGGAGGGATTTTGAGGAACAAGTATGAAAGACACAGAGATGAGGACTGGGGGGGGGGGAATGGGAGGGAGGGGGGAGACCAGGCGGGGGGGGGGAAGAGAAAAAAAAATGTACTTGAAAAGTAACTAAATAAAATTTAAAAAAAATTTTTAAAAAGAAATTTTACTAAGTAGTTACAGAATAGACATGGAGATGTACAGTACCATTTAGGAAATGGAGTAGCCAAAGAACTTATATGCATGACCTATGGACATGAACAATGGTGGGGGGATTCCCTGAGGGAGTAAGGGGGTGCAAAGGGGGAAAATTGGGACAACTGTAATAATATAATCCATATAATATGATAAAAATAAGTTAATTTTTTTAATTTGCAAAGATTTTAGGCCTGTCTAGGATCTCGAGACTGTGTGGTCAGTATTCTTGGTTGCTGGGTGAACACTTGCTCAGTTTTCAGTCTCATGTATTTATTTTATTCGACTTCCCTTGGTGTTCTAGAAGTGCCTCAATATGGCTCTTACATATCCTTTAAAGGCATAATTTTGCATACAGTACTGCCTAGTGATAACAGTAACATTGAACAGTTATTATGTATGCCTTATGTACAGTGATATATTAAGTGCCTTAGATGTATTTTCTCATTGGATAACTAAAACAGTCCTATGCAATAGATATTATTAATGTTTGCATTATACAAATGAAGAAGCTGGAGCTTAAAGAGACCAAGTAACTGTCTTGTTCATCACTCTATTTCCAGTGCACAGGATAGTACCTTGTTCATAATAGAGACCCCTCCCCCCAAAATAAACAAATGAATAATTGATTTAGAGAGAAAATTCTGGGAAGACTGGGAAGCACTAGGAATCCTTTTTCCCACATAGATGGCAATTGTACTGGCAGAACTGTCTGATGTAACTATTAAGAGTGCTGGAGTCTATTCAAAGTTAATTTAGTCTATTTTCTTTTTTAGCACTGTAGCAGCTACCAATTACCCACTCTTCCCAACTCCCTGTCAGGAAGCTGCACATGCATTCCAAGAGCAGTTTAAAGAAGCCAGAATAAGCAGTAATACCTCAGCACCTCCCCCCATCTACTTCCAAAAAGAGGCCAAGTAACTTTTCCCAGAGTCACATAGTCATTAACTGACCAAGCCAAGACTCTGGCTCAGGTCAAACTGGAGAATGTATGTGTTTAAACATGATTCCAGTTATGCCTTATTCATATAAGGTTCAAGCCAGCCTGAATTATCAAAAAGAGCTAAAAACATTACAAATGCCTTCATTAAAAAAATGAAAATTATGATATACTTTTTAGAAATACTTCTATTCAAAGTAGATAAAAATATTTTAGCCCTGGCTGGCATAGCTCAGTGGATTGAGCGCGGGCCTGTGAACCAGAGTATCGCAGTTCGATTCCCAGTCAGGGCACATGCCTGGGTTGCAGGCCAGTTCCCAGCAGGGGACTCATGAGAGGCAACCATACATTGATATTTCTCTCCCACTCTTTCTCCTTCCCTTCCCCTCTCTCGAAAAATAAATAAATAAAATATTTTAAAAAATATTTTAAGCCTTAGTACTTAAAGAAGTAAGCATTACTTATCAGAAAAATCCACTTGTGTGAAACAACTCATTCTCCAGCATTGCCAAATCCAAAAGGCGTTTCCGTACTATCTAATACTCTCAGAACTGCAAAGCAGCTCAGTACACCTTCTGGCAGTTTCAGAGTACAGAAGTCTTTGGCAACTTCACCATGTTTTCATTTGACTAGTAAAAATGAAAATACCATGATATATTCCATGGTAACCATCATTCTATAAGGGATATAGAGTGGGCTCAGGCCTTACCTACCTCAAAAGCCCATGTATACATACACATGTGCCCATATGTGCATGTGTGTGCATATACACACACAGAGAGCTAAAATTGGGCAATAGGGAAACCTGTAATAAAATATTCTGAGGCAAAATATTCTGATGTTATGGGAAATATTCTAAAGCAAGCAATGTTTATGTGGGGGCAAAGCTACTTGTACTACTATTAATAATAATAGCTAACACTTGGAGAATACTATGTGTCATGCCTTTTTCAATGAACATGTATTCATTGAAATCTCATACCAATCCTATGAGATAGGTGCTGTTATTATTCCCACTTTACAGCTAGGGAGAATGAGGCATAGAGGCATTGTTAAGTAACATGTCGAAGATCACAAAGCTACTAGTCAGAGGGAACTGCAATTTGAACCCAGCCAGTCTAATGTCAGAGTCCATGTTCAAACTACTATTAATACTTCTCCTCAAAAGATACTACTAATGTGTGTCTACACTTCTTATGTCCCTGATTCTGTACTGGTCACTCCACATACATTATCTTATAGATTTTTTTTTTTGAGGTTGGAGTTCTTTTTTTTTTAAAGATTTTATTTACTTATCTTTAGAGGGGAAGGAGAAGGGGAGAGAAACATCAATGTATGGTTGCCTCTAGTGCATCCCCTGCTGGGAACCGGCCTGCAACCCAGGCATGTGCCCTGACTGGGAATTGAACCACGATCCTCTGGTTTGCAGGCCTGCACTCAATCCACTGAGCTACACCAGCCAGGGCTGAGGTTGGAGTTCTTAATTCTAAATTATTATGCAGCATCTCATTAGATCTTTAAAACAACCCCATGAGGTACCTATTATTGTGCCCATAAAAACACTGAGTCACAGAGAAGTTAAGTAAATTTGCACACAGGCGAAAATACCAACTGTGCTTCGGTAAATCCCCTATATGTACAGTAAGGATTCATATCATTAAAATAATGTAACATAAATTTAATATACAATTTCTACCTCAGTACCAGGTTCTCTCAGCTTTTCAAAGCCCTTGTTCTAAAGTGTTGTTAATGGGGAAAAGTAACAATAGGCTTTCCTCTCTTCCCAACTCAAGTGGAATGCAGTGAACTTCTACAGCTGCCATTGGCCCACTTTTGGTTCCCCTTAGTAGAAAAGCACACCACAAAAGTTCTATCACCATAAGCCTGCTTTCAGGGCTTGGATGCTCTATCTGAAAGATACCATGTTTTGAGTTTTGTTCTGTTTTGAAAATGCTTCCTGGAAAAGCCAAACTAGGAAGCTTCCACTGGAGCCACCAATCTCAACCATGGTTTCTGTAAAATGTTTTTTTCTGTTTAACGGAGAAAATAAACCAAGGATTTTTACTACAACACCATATTCACTAGCAGAGTAAAAAACCAATGATAACAAGGAAGGCAATCTGGGTGGGCTTACCTCCACTTGAAGGGTTGCAGATCCTTTCAGGAAGTAATTGATGTTGTTGATGCAGTCAGCTTCTGTTTGGGGCTCCAAACAGTACTAGAGAAATATAGTCAAATGTCACTTGGAATCTGTCATCCCATACTGAGTGTACTATATATGCCATTCACTAACAACTACATAGACAGGTGTTTTAAGGCAGGGAGCAACACTGCTGTCAATCCAGGAAGAGAAATAACCACTAAAGGAAGTGATGCAAAAATCTAAACGGTTAGTCTTTATTTCAAATGTCACCAAACCTTAGTCTCAAGCCATCTCTACTTATAGAATTTCTCTCTCTCTCTCTCTCTCTCTTTTTTTTTTTCTTGCCTAAGCGTGGTGATAGCAAATCAGAGAAACACAGACAGTTTTTTGAGCTTGGTTTTGCTTTCAACTTACTTCCTTGCTCCCTCCTCTTCGTGATAACTTATTCAAGTATATTTCCTCTTTGTTGTTCTCTGCATTTTATCGCAATTATCTACCTTTTACCACCCTTTTCTCACTGATTTTCAAGTTTAAGAAATTATAAGTAAATCAATTTCTTTGATAAAAATACAAACTGTTTAAGAAGGCAAAACAACTGTGCTCACAGACACATTGCCTGCTGACCTTAAGAATATGGGTATAGGACTCTAATTTTAAACTGACTTGAAGTGTCTGCTTTAGAAATTATCCATCTTTGTGATCATGGGTTTCCAACACTAAAAATTTTTGATTTTTAAAAGAGAATAAAAGTAGTTTCACTTTGAACACATGTTGCATTTGAAATATATTTGGTTTTTATTCTTTTAACAAACTTATGTGACATTTGTGGTTATTTCTCCTAGTTGCTAAATAGCCTCTCTTTCAATGGATATTTTATTTGTTTGAGAAAATCTACATTGATTTTAGTCAAGCTGTCACTGAACATTATCAACATCTGTTATAAATCATCCCATTACTGCACAGACTCATATATACCTCAAATTCAAAACATGTCCTTGGTACACAAAGAGGTGTAATACTTATCTCTATGAAAGTGCAAGCTTGTGATATAGGTATTCTCCTTGCTCCTGGTATCCATGTTGTAACAGGTTTTATAATACTAATAGTTGGTGGCAAATTACTAAAAGATAATGTTTCATTTTCTGACTTTTTCAAAGTATAAAAACAGTAAGAAAGAATACTTAACTTTCAGAAGGAAATTAAAGTAGGAGAGTCCTAAGAAAAGGGCAATAGAAAATCTCGAGAGTTACATTATTGCTCTCTCGTCATAAGCACTCCCGAAGATACTGCAAATGTTTCTTACCTTTTCTACAGAACCAGGCCTCAGTCTGTTGATCAGTTTACACAGCACTACCCCATTTTTCAGTGAAGACTTCAAGAACTCCTCTGGATCACAGATGGTCTTTTTGGGGGAATCTAAAACTCCCAAGGATATAAGCCATGTCACGATTTGCTCTTCTGGATTCATTACTGAGGACTTTATGCTCCAAACAGCTTTCTGGGGCAGCTGCAAGGACTAAGCCACATCCGCGATTGCATCTGCTGTTGTCTTCCTTTTTATGAGTTCTCTTCTGGTACTTGCAGAGCAAAGCTTTAAAACAACTTTTCTGAGACAATGGTGGAACCCACTAAAATTACGGGATTTCAAAGCCACAGAGATCACACTCAAAGATGTGGAAAGAGAATGAATGTAAAAACCTGGATAATACTTTTTTTTTCAAAACCTGCAAAACAGATTCATTAGAATAAAAAAGAAGAAATGTACACACACACAACAGTGCAAGAAGCTGTAAGGGAAGGAAGTGAGGAGGATACTGGGGAGGGAGGAGAAAGAAGGAAGCAAGTGCTCTTGGAAAACAGAGGTGAGCTAGTACTTCAGCCAACCTTGGAAATGAAACTGTTGGGTCAGTCTGGGAAAATGCTGTCAATAAATACTTTATCCTGAGTGAAAATCTAGCTTCTGTCAGGAGGAAAATGACAAACGTCTGTTATGTTAGCCAGGTCCGAGCCTCGTGGGGAGTTATACCAGCACAACGTGGCTCAAACAAGGTAGGCTCAGAAAATTCTTCTATGAAATGACCAGATGTCCTCAAAGTGTCTCACAGAGATGGTGCATCATGATCATTCCTTGCAAAACACTTTGTGTTGCATGGTGACACAGTGCCAAGCAAAGGAAGATTGTGCCTGCTGTCAGCCATCACTGTATATAAGCAGAAGCTAGAAGAATGGCATTTTATTTTGCAGCCAAAAAGCTATGTTTAGGGAAATAGGCTAAGGATAACATCTGACATCCTGTTTATGTGCATTCTTTAGCAATTCTTTTTCTGGACTTGATTCCACTACACAATCCAGCTGCAGTACCCTTAGTAAAGGCTCATACACAGTCACATAAGAGGGTAAAAAACACTTGAAAACAACTTTTTAAAAATATATATTTTATTGATTATGCCATTACAGTTGTCCCATTTACCCCCTTCATTCCCCTCCACCCTGAAAACCCCCTCCCCCCATTCCCCCCCTTTAGTTCATGTCCATGTGTCACAAGTTCTTTAGATTCTACATTTCCCATACTATTCTCGCCTTCCCCCTGTCTATTTTCTATCTACCATCTATGCTACTTATTGTCTGTACCTTCTCCCCCCTTCCCCCCTCCCACTCCCCTGTTGCTAACCCTCCATGTGATCTCCATTTCTATGGTTCTGCTCCTGATCTAGCTGTCCTCTTAGTTTGCTTTTGTTTTAGGAGTGACTGTTAATAACTGTGAGTTTGTTGTCTTTTTACTGTTCATATTGTTCATATTTTCATCTTATTTTTCTTAGATAAGTCCCTTTTTTAATATATTTTATTTATTAATTTATTTTTAGAGAAAGGGCAAGGGGAAGGAGAAAGAGTGGGAGAGAAACATCAATGTGTGGTTGCCTCTCATGCACCCCCTACTTGGGACCTGGCCTGCAACCCAGGCATGTGCCCTGACTGGGGAATCGACCCCGAGACCCTTTGGTTCACAGGGCCATGCTCAATCCACTGAGCTACACCAGCCAGGGCTAGATAAGTCCCTTTAACATTTCATATAATAAGGGCTTGGTGATGATGAACTCCTGGAACTTGACCTTATCTGAGAAGCACTTTATCTGCCCTTCCATTCTAAATGAAAGCTTTGCTGGATAGAACAATCTGGGATGGAGGTCCTTGCCTTTCATGACTTGGAATACTTCTTTACAGCCCCTTCTTGCCTGTAAGGTCTCTTTTGAGAAATCAGCTGACAGTCTGATGAGAACTCCTTAGTAGGTGACTGTCCCCTTATCTCTTGCTGCTTCTAGAAATCTCTCTTCCATTTTAATCTTGGCTAATATAATTATGATGTGCCTTGGTGTGTTCCTTCTTGGGTCCATCTTCTTTGGGACTCTGAGCTTCCTGGAATTCATGCAGGTCTATTTCCTTTGCCAGATTGGGGAAGTTCTCCTTTATTATTTGTTCAAATAAGCCTTCCAATTGTTGCTGTTCCTCTTCCCCTACTGGTACCCCTATAATTTGGATGTTGGAACATTTAAAGATGTCCTGGAGGTTCGTAAGCTTCTCCTCATTTTTTTTTTGAATTCTTGTTTCTTCATTCTTTTCTGTTTGGTCATTTTTATGTTCCTTCTGGTCCACTCCATTGATTTGAGTCCCAGTGTCCTTTCCATCACTATTGGTTCCCTGTGCATTTCTCTTCATTTCAATTAGTTGAGCCTTCATTTGTTCCTCTAATTTGTGACTAAAATCAACCAGTTCTGTGAGCATCCTGATCACTAGTGTTTTGAACTGTGTATCTGATATGTTGGCTATCTCTTGATCACTTAGAAGTATTGGATCTGGGGCTTTGAGCTCTTCTTTTGCTCGAGCCATAATGTTTTGGTCTGTTTGTGCCTGTTATATATGAGGGGCAAAAGCTTAGGTGTTCACCAGGGTGGGTCAACCCCATCGCTGGGTTGTGACTGGGGGCAAGGTCAGAGAGGGGCATGGTGTTTCTTCCTCTCTCTCTCAGATTTTGGTCCCCTCTGCTGCTTCCCACATGCAAATTGGGCCCTTCTGGTGCTGGTTCCCAGGTAGGTGGGCTTGTGTACATTCTAGGACCTTGTGGGTCTCTCCAGCGAACTCTCCTGTGAGGCTGGGAGCCTCTCCCAGCACCTCAACCCCCAAAAGTTTTTTCAGTTGGTGGTTTTAGGCTTTATTGTCTGGTGCTGGGGCCCTGCATTGTATGGTCTGTCTCACTGTCCATTTTTTCACCTGGTTTATCTACGTGTGAATGTGTGACCACAGTCAGCCACCTGCCTTGCACCCTCACTGGGTCTGTCTGTTGCCACCCTGCGCCTGGGATCTGCCAACCACTGCCTGCACACCTGGGTTGGTCTGGCAGCCGCCGCTTTTTTCTGCCATGATACCACTCTACCAGCCACCAACTCCGCCCCTCTTACCACTCTGGATGAATGGTTTGTTTTCAGAGTTTGGTACAGTTCAATTTTCTGTCTGTTTTGATTGTATTTTTGTTTCTAATCTTTGTTGCCATTAATTTTGGTTGTGTGAGGAGGTACAGTATTTCCACCTATGCCTCCATCTTGGCCGGAAGTCCTGAAAACAACTTTTGAGAACAGAAGATCACTTGTCTTCTGTCTACCCTAAAATCTGGAATATTGATGTTTCCCCAACAATAAACACTTTGCATTAAAAATGCTTCTCTAGAAAAAAGACTGGCTTACAAGAACAGATATTTACTTTTTTGAACATTTTAAGAAGCAGGTAAAATAGGCATACTACATGGATATTTATGATAAGGCCAACTTTAACCATATAGCTGCCTCACATTGGCAAATGCATGAAAGTTACCATCACTGCCCATCCTCATACATATGGTCTTTCTAAGCTTCACAATTAAAACAAAAATTTTACAGATGCAGAAGATGAAGTTTATATCTTTAAGTATACTTTATTGATTATGCTACTACAGTTGTTCCATTTTTCTCCCCTTTATTCCCCTCAGTTCTGCACCCTCCTCCCTCCAGCATTTCCTGCCCCCTTAGTTCATGTTCATGGGTCATCCATTTCCTATACTGTTCTTAACATCTTCCTGTCTATTTGGTACCTACCAATTATGCTTCTTATTCCCTGTACCTTTTCCCTTATTCTCCTCCCTTTCCAACCCCACTGATAATACTTCATGTGATCTTTATTTCTGTGATTCTGTTTCTCTTCTAGTTGTTTGCTTAGTTTGTTTTTGTTTTTGTTTTTTTTAGATTCAGTTGTTGATACTTGTGAGTTTTTTTGTCATTCTACTGTTCATAGTTTTGATATTCTTTTTCTTAAATAAGTCCTTTTAACATTTCATATAAGGGCTGGGTGATGATGAACTCTTTTAGCTTTACATTGCCTGGGAAGCACTTTATCTGACCTTTCATTCTAAATGACAGCTTTGCTGGTTAGATATCTAGGCTGTAGGCCCTTACTTTTCATCACTTTGAATACTTCTTGCCAGTCCCTTCTGACCTGCAAAGTTTCTTTTGAGAAATCAGCTGGTAGTCTTAAGGGAATTCCTTCATAGGAAATTATCTGCTTTTCTCTTGCTGTTTTTAAGATTCTTTCTTTATCTTTAACCTTCTGGCATTTTAATTTTGATGTGTCTTGGTGTTGCCCTCTTTGGATCCAACTTGTTTAGGACTCTCTGTGCTTCCTGGATGTGTATGTTTATTTCCTTCACCAAATTAAGGAAGTTGTCTTTCATTATTTTTTCAAATAAGCTTTCAATTTCTTGCTCTTCCTCTTCTCCTTCTGGTATCCCTATGACTCAGATGTTGGCATCTTTGGAGATGTCCCAGAGTCCTGTTACCATCTCCTTTTTTTTTTTAATTCTTGTTTCTTCATTCTGTACTGGTTGACTGTTTACTTCTTCCTTATGTTCCAAATTACTGATTTGAACCCTGGCTTTCTCCCCTTTGCTATTGGTTCCCTGTGTATTTTTTTCTTTATTTCACTCAGTGTAGCCTTCATTTCTTCCCTTATGCTTTCACCATATTCAATGACTTCTCTGAGCATCCTGACCACCAGTGTTTTGAACTCTGCCTTTGAAAGGTTGGTTATCTCCATTTTGCTTAGTTCTTTTTCTGGGGTTTTGTTCTGTTCTTTTATCTGGGCCATATTTCTTCTTCTACTCAATTTGGCAACCTTCCTATGTTTGTTTCTGTGTATTGGGTAGAGCTGCTTTGACTCCATCTTGGTGCACCTGTTATGTTGTAAGGGGTAGAGCCTTAGGTATTCACCAGGGTAGAGCAACCTGCTTCACTACTTTGTGGCACTGTATGTGGGAGAGGAGTATGAGAGGGAATAATGTCATTTGCTCAGCTCTCATCCCATTTCCAGTCACTTCACCCACTTCCTGTATGCAACTGGTACCCTTCTAGCTGTTGCCCTGGTGGTGGTTCCCAGAGCAGGTGTGTTCTAGGACTATGTAGGTTCTTTAAAAAGACTGTAAAATCCAACCCCAACTGGATTTTACAACCAGAAGTTATGAGGCTTTATTTTCCTGGCACTGGAACTCTGGGCTGCACACTCTGGCCTGGGATGACTCACTCCCCAGGTATCCCTCCGGGTTTATATCTGCCACACTTGAATGTGGGATTCTGCTGGCCATTGCCACTGCTGCTTTGCCG